CACTTTCATACAAAATTAGTGATAGTAGGTTTGCCCACTTAAAGAAGATTGAAAAAAAAACAAGCCTCGGCATTGGTGTCTAGGAATTGAGATCTACGTTCTGTAGCTTCGTTCTCACGACAAGAGGCTAGATCAGAATCTGATTTCTGGAAAGTGGGATTTCTCTCTTTCGGCTATAAAGGGTTGTTCGTTAAGAGAGAAAAGTAGGAATTCTCACTGGGAAGGAATTTTCTTTCTCTTCAGCTAGGGCTTGAAGTTTGGCAGCTACGGCACCGTTTTCAATTGTCCCTACTTTATGATTCCGAAACAGCCTGAAGCCACTTACTGTCTCCTCCAATTGCTTCTCATGCTCCTAAAATCGAACATCAACTTGAACAGTAGCAAATCCACATTCTACATATTATGAGATCTAGTTGTTGTAAGGAGACTACTAAAATGAAATCAAAATTTAAGTTAACTACTTTTTCTTTTGTTTCCTTCTGATACATATAGTCTCTCCTTTTTTTTGAAATCGTTATCCATCCAACTTTTGAAAGATATAGAACAACTTCAACCAGTGTGATGAGGCTCATTCCAAAAAACATGCCCATGTTTCCACCAATGTCACCTAGAAAGTTAACGCATAAACAAGAAAATGACTAAGCATAACATTGTGTAGTAGCTAGATTGGTTCTGATCATGGGTGCGAAGGAAAAGCGGGATGATTCATTCTAATGTATGAAGCTAATTTAGAAGCATTTCATGTGGCGGAGATAAGCACCGAGGGAGTAAGGTGGAGCTCGAATGGTCACAAGTGTTCACGCCTGTCTGCCGGCCTCCGCCACAGCTTTCCGTCTTATCGCCGGAGCCGCTGCACTCTTATGATCAGCTGTAGACTGCGAAGAAAAGTAGGGGAGCCGAGTCGAAACAGTTGTAAAAAATTTGCATATCGCATAGATAAGGATAAAATTTTTTGCAGTCGATGCATTCCTCTTTGAGATGTGCCATCCCTTTGTATTCTATGAAGAATGGCAATGGCAATATCAATGCATGTATCGCAAAGCTTTGCGGGCGTTTGGCCTATACAATGGCTTACGGTGGCCACTCAATGTAAATTCAGTACTTTCATTCTCATAGATGAGTCTGGTACCAATTAGTGGTCTCCCGGGAGATGTAAGACCTAGTAAGCCTTAGCAATTATCGTTCCAAGATCCGATCTCCAGATCATGCATTTGATACTGTGCGCCATTTGTCAGTGGACCTCCTTTACACCACCAGCACCGATATGCCCGTTTGTGGGTAGGGTGGTATATTTTTTGATGCGCAGTATTAGATGATGCGTAGCTTATCATGGGTTATGTAGTAGATATTATGGGTGTTAATTGCTTGGTAGATATGTTGTGAATCTACCAAGCTATTGGGAGGAGTTCAACTGGTATCAAAATATCGGTTAACGATAAGGAAGAATAGTTTGTGGCACTGCCTCGAGAACTAGATTGCGCAATAACATGCCTACATCTGGAGGACGACTCTCTACGGACCGTCATCTTTGGAGGAATTCAATAAGCAACACCCGCGGCTAAACTGGATGTTGTTGAGACGGTGCGATCTTCGCAACTACCTAAAACGGGGCACACGATTAAAATTGGACCTCCCTACTTGCACTGTTCTCTACAAACTCATCAAAACGCATAAGCTTTCCCATACCACCATGTCTTCAAACGCAGAATTTCGTGACTGCTAAACCTGGTCGTACCAGGGAAGGTTCCCAAGTCGAAGTGGCCATTTGAAATGAGACCTACCTGCTGGACGTATTTTTGGATGCTGAGTTCAAATCTGCTTTCCAAATTTGCCAAGTTTCCTCTGAACAGAGTAGGGTGGTTTTAGGGAGCTTAACATGAGAAAACTTAAGTTACGTGGATATGCCTCGTTTCTAAACTGCGGCTTGGTGTAGTGGTAAGCGGGACGTTTCATGGGCGATAGGCTTTGGGTTCTGTGGAGAGCGAAGTTTTTGCATAATATTGAATTTTTCCCTTAAGGACTAGAAAATACTCTCATAGTGATTTTATCACGTTTTATGACCTTTTAATGCTTTGCTGATACCTTCTCCTACCTACCTACCTACCTGTTACCGAGTGGTAGATTACTCCGTGTGCAAGATTTGGAGGACCGAGCGAGTAAAACGCATATGATGAGCAATGATGATGCTAGAGTGGGTGATGATGCTAGATTGGGTGCGATGGTGTGTAGCAATTCCGGACTCACCAACACCTGCTTGAGGCTACCGCGAGGCTAATACAGCGGATAGAAGCTCATTTCTTGTTACCTTTTGGAAATATGGTTGAACGCACCTCATATGTAATAGCTCATGATCTCAACTTTTGCGTGTACACACGAGAACCCATTCTTCGCTTACTATCGCTTGTCTACTTTCAGTTCTGTGCGGTTACATTAAACGGAATTTCTCTTTTTATTCATGGTATGCCGCCGACTACTTAAGCACTTATCCGGATGATTTTGGGACGCCTACCCAATTTAGTTTTCTTTCTGATTTGATGGCTAGTAAGTGTAAAGCAATGGGCTGAGTTCTTTGTTCATCTGTTGCACCCATTGTGAGAAGCTTCTTTGTTTCAAGCATTTCGTGCTAGAGTAACACATTTGTACATAAAGTGAGAAAAGTTATCTTACTGTGAATAGAGAGTGCATGGGCATGCGAGTAAAACTGAAGTATTACTTTATGTGGATAAATGTCAGCAAAAGCTCTATATAATGCAAAATTCCGCCCCCTCCCCCCACGAAACCCGAACCCTAGTCTATTGCCCATGAAACGTCACGCTTACCACTACATCAAGCCCCAGTTGCTCTGTTGAGAGAAACGCTTAGCAAATTTGGAGAGCAGATTTGAACACAGCATCTAAAAATACTTCCAGCAGTACAGGTCTCATTTCAAATGGTCACTTCGACTTGGGATTCTTCCCTGGTTAGTACAGCTGCTACGGTATATTCCCTTACACCTCACCAATACTAATATGTTGGTTGCGCGAAGTCAGTTTTAGATCCAATCCCATCAGGGAGTCCTTAGACGTTACATTTCTATACACCAACGTGTCGAGTAGGGATGCTATGAAGCCCGCTCTGGGACTNAGTGCTCTATTTTTGGGTGGTCCGGCCAATATTATAGGCAGATCAGAAGACTGGCCATGGGGCTGCGGCTGGCACCCGTGCTAGGCATAGCCTATATGTCCAAAATAGAAAAGGGTTACTGGATCGCCGGCCTATTGTGTACTGCCGCTACATAGACGACTGTTTTGTCATCTGTTCAACGGAAGAGGAAATGGGCATGTGCTATGGCCTACTCAACAGACAAGCAGAAAACATTAAATTCACACGTGAGAAGCCAAAAGATAATTGGCTTTCTCTCCTTGATACACAAGTGGGCTTGATGGGATCGGTACCGTACCACATGGCATCGAAAACCCAGCAACTAATACAGTTTTGTTTTGTGCACTTCAATTCGGCGCTTTAAAACAAAGCGAGCTATCACAATTAAAATGTTTGAGACGGTCATACTGGTGCCATCCGAGAGGCAGGAGAGAGAGGACTTCTTGAAGCTTGCAAGAAAGATCGCACTTTTCAATGGTTACCCTCTTAAAAACAGTTATGGAGCATGTAAAAAGAAACAACATGGCCCAACCATCGATAGCTCGGACAGGGTAGCGTTCTGTGTCCACCATATTACCGATGCTATGAGTTCTGATATAAGGGCGGCTCCGCATAGGTGTGGCCTAAGAGGCATGAATTGAGTGTTGAGATCCCATCTGAAAATCTGAAGCAGCGGCTGGGTCGAAACCGCTGCTACGCTCGAATTTGTCTGACTCCCAATTGCGTGATCCGCCCTAATGGACAAGAAGGTGACTGCATGACACCAGGCGTGATTTACCTGATCACGTGCAAATCGAGGATGAAAATATTGGGGAGACTGGACGAACATGAGGAGGGCATGGATCGAGCAAGGGTGGAGAACCCTTTTGTGTGCTCCCCGAGAAGTGTCGCATGGAGGTGAGATATTCGAAATTACAGGTGGGATTCTGTTGGGATGACCTTTCACATCGGCACCACGAAAGACACTTGAAGTTTCTTCCATCAGCACCAGGTCCCCAAAAATGAATAGGAAGGACGAGTGCCTAACCGTAGCTGGTGAGCTCTCTGACCCTTTTCGTTTCTGTTGGCCCCCGGTATCACAACGAGGGGATAGGGGCATACCATCTAAAGCTACCCTCCAGCCAGGAGTCAGGCTAGCGGCGGTCTTTCAAACGACCGGTTGTCTCTTGAGGTCTAGTGTCTCTTAGGGTTATCGTGTCCCATTTGGAAACATTATGTCTAGGGAACCATTTTTCGAAGTTAACTGATGAATGAGAGGTGGGTAGCGATAATCTTTAGGTTTCCAGACTCTGAAAAAGGCGATAACGTAAGTCAATAGGAGCTTATTCATCATCGTGGTAGCAGGATTTATGAAAAAAAAGTCTTGCAAAATTTGTTGTGAATTTATTATATTAATTACAAATTGTATCAGAGGAAGAGAACAAATTTAAATTTTTCAAAAAGCAAGGAACCTGGCTGTCTTGAAGTATTGGAAGATACGCTTTTCCTACTATTATATTTCCAAATCCGAGTTAAGCCTTTGCTAACTGTTACAAATCAAATTGCAAAACATATACGAAGTTACAAAAGTTTTAACATGCTCAAGTACAAATCAATCGTGCACTGAGAAGATAGAACCATTCAATAAGAAGATGAAAAAAGACTCAAGTTTGGTATATCGCTTTACCGAAGACTTTTGAGCATTGCTAGTCTTGAGTATCTCTGAAACTTACTAAGAGTTTCCGTGAGGGATGTTCCTTGCACCTGAACATATTCGGTGTACGACATATCCCGAAAAAATATATTGATCGTCAGAAAATTTGACCTAAAACGAAATTGAAGATTGGAGCATTGAAGCAACAGAAAGCCGTTTCGAAATAAAGAGTACTCCAATTTGTCTGATCAAGAAGCAGGCTTACTGCCATCCTCGTATATGCAGATCGCTTGTTGTCGCTCCCTTGCTGTCTGTCATCCGGTATTTCCGGTATTTGAACTCAGGTACTAGTTCGATAAACATATGGAGAGTTCGGATCCCTAGCGAATGGTTAATTTTGGGATGAAGGGGGCATGCATGGGGCATTATGAAAACTGAAGGTCCGCCCACGGTGGGCACAACATGAACCGGTAATGACAGCTGAAGTACCGAAACTTCAGAACTGCTTCCCGATTAGCCCAGACACTGTGCAGAATTGACAAAGGTGAGGTGATTGACATCGACAGTAAACCTACCGGGTCTAGTCGCTCAGTAGTTAAGGTTATATTCTGCCCCATTTCATAACTAGATTCCACCGTAACTGTTGGCCAGAATAAAACTGTAGAAATGAGCAAGTTTTAAGGATTACTAAACATCCTTAAAGAAAGCAAAGTTATGTCTACGACTGGCAGGATGTGCTTTCGATTAGAGGACTAATCGAGAGCACATCCTGCCGGACAATTTCTGGACAAATCGATGAACTTGTTCAAAAACGTTCTTGTTTGGTAGGTAGAGACTATCTATTAAAAAATGGTCAAGTATTAGGTAGACGGGGTGTGCACAACTAGGACCGAAAATTCATTACTATGAGGTCTGTGAGGTTTGCTATCGGAAGATTATTTGATGCACTGTATGCTGGTTCTATGAAAGGATGAGGGATAAAGTCTTCTGGCGTTAATGAATCCGTCTGGGGGAAGCACTTTTCCATTCAAAATCGTAGTGGCATTCGCCAAGTGTATATGTTAGTTTGTCGGTGTGTGTGTGTGACTGTGTGTGCGTCTGTATTTGTCTTTGTGTGCCCGTATGTGTCTGTTGGGGTGTTGTATGTGTCTGTGTGTGTATGTCTGTGTGTGTCTGTGTGTATCTGCGTGTTGTGTGTGTATTTGACAGGAAATTCGTAACTCCTACTCCCGTGGACCTAGAGAATTCGAATTAGGTAGGAGTGCAGATGGCAGAATATATAGAAACACTTATGGCAAGTGACTGGGCCAGATTCCGCCTACAAGGCTTGCGCGAACGTTAATTCATAACTCCTGTTTACGTGGACCCAAAGTGTTTAGTAGCCTTTCGTATTAACTGTGCAACCTCGGAATTTTAATAAGTGATATGATATAATGGGGTCGTAAGTACTCGTGCCGATGGCAACTGCTAAGAGTATATAAGGGGCCCCAGAGAGCAAGAGCCACCTACCGATCGAAATCCTAACGCTTTCGGTATTCGTGATGCAGCTTTGACTGCTCACGTCAGTATGTTTCATTCGATAAGACAGGATGGAAGAGTAGGGTGACAAGAATTAGTGGTGCAATGATAGGGACATTAGCGGCACTACGATAAACAGATGAGTGAGGGTTTTGTTCATCTCTTGCTAATAGATTACGGCCGTTAGCTAGCAAGGATTGTGACTCAATAAAGGATCCTCTTTGTTCGATACCGTTTGCGACAAAATTTAACCGACCGCAGAAAATTAGGAATTCTCAGCCAATGATGTCTTTGTAAAGAAGAAGGGGTTTAACGACTTCTGATGGTGCTATCATCTCTCGAAACATTTGAGAGTAGCACACGGGCCTTTGGTTACCTAACAGTTGAATCTTTATTGGGTATCTATTTTTGAGAAAGGGAGCAAAAGAACGAGACTACCAACTAAAGGCGTGAGGCACCGACTAACAATGAATACTTTTGCACGGCCTTGTCAGTCCTGTGAAAACTTCGCGTAAAGGAAAATATTATTTGTATCAAAGAAAGAGTGGAGAGTTAGCCGATTACTACAAAATTGCAAAGAGGGAGCAAAGCCCGGCGTTAGCCGGGCGAACCATTGGTTCTACTAGGTGCTAATAAAATAAATTGCTTGATCAGCAAAAGCATTATTGAAGGCATGCTTTTATGCGATGTGCTCCATCACAATAGTAAACCTCAGTGTACTAGTGTAGGCGCCCATGTACTGAAATCCACATGCGGCGCTCAGATACTGTGTCAGTTGAGTGAGTAAATATGTCGGTGTGACTGCATTCTACAAAGGCATGAAAGTTTAAGTGAGTCGGTTGACGACTATTGCTCCAGAGGTTCAAAAAATTTTGTCAACAGCCTCGGTTGAGCACGAATTCGCATCAAATATTATCTTTTTTGTAAACACGCATTAAATCCTTGCAAAACATTCAGTTCAATTTGGACAGCATCCGGGGTAAGAATATGATTCGCGAATGGAAGAGTACACGCACCTCATATGCGACTTGCTCCATGAGCTGTTCTTCTTTTGCAGCCATGCCAATGCACTGTTACTGAAACCTTGACCATAAGAGTTGTAGGCATGATAAACGATGCTCTGACATTCGACTTGGCACACTTTGCATTTGGGGATCTTGTAATTGTCACTACCTGGAATTCAACAGTTGCTCAACAAAAACATTGACCCAAAAATGAATTTAAGCTCGGGAACGACTACGGTGAAAGAGAAGAAGAATTTGCCCAATATTTTTTCGGGTCCTCTCATGTACCACCTCACCGCGGTGATAGGGCGACACCATAACAAGTGGTGGCCAACGGTACAAATCGTCATGCAGTACGCGTTGCATGTCGTATGGGCGGCTTCTTTGTATCCTTGGCAACTAACAAGGGAGTAACCGAGGTCAAGTAAATTGTTCAAACAGGTAAAATTGCGCCCCACTCCAGCGCACATCGGATATGCTGCCCTATGGCGTCCGGAGTAGCCTCTACTGATGAGGGGCCATCTAATCTCGCATGAGAATCAGGACGTCATCGGAATCGGGAACCTGGAAATCTCCCCAAACCGCGACACATGGACTGGTTTTTCGTCTGCTCGAATAACTGCCGCACTATAACATCGGGAGCCAGCCTTCGGAAGCTCTTGCTAAGCAGCCGGCCGGTTAAATATGAGATCATCGCATTACAGGAGATGAAAGGCAGAACGGAAACCATTTGAGAAACGTAACACAAGGAGCTGCTCATCACTGGACCCAAGGCGGACGGCAGTCTCGGTGGAGCTGGATTCCTGATCAATTCGACCTCGCCCACCAGTAGTTCCATAACATCGTGAGTCCGCGTCTTGCCGTCCTCTGTCTATGCACAAAAGGCCGGCTTGCAATTTCTGTCATCAATGCGTATACACCTACCTCCGGCGCGGCAAAGGAAGAGCTAGGGGAGTGTTATAGTCATCTAGAGAAGACTATTCGAAAGAAGAGAAGAGCTACTATGAATATCTCGTCGGCGACTTCAACGTCGTCGTGGGCACGAACTGCGGATTGGAAGCACGGACCTAATGGCTCTGAACAGGACTAAAAACGGAGAACTTTTCTTAAACCGTTTATATCCGCGTGCCACCTTTTCCGTGGAAATTCCATGTCCGGAAAGCCAGCTATGCGACGAATGACTTGGGAGAGCCCAAACGGCCGTACGCATACAGAGATAAATCACGTTTTCACTAATCTACGCTGTAGCCTACTTGGTGTATCCGTGTTGCCCTCTTTTGACATCGGCTCGGATCACCGCATAGTGCCCGCAAAAAAGTAGTTTTTAGTGGATGCCACCGCCAGCCCGAATTCCAAGGCTGAATACCCTAGTCCTCTCACACTTGGAAAAAAAAGGAGAGCTCTCAAACAGGATTGTGAAGCCAACCATCTGGAAAAAGCACTTGTCAACAAGGCCTGCCGTATGGCTCTTCGGGAGTATAGGATAACCAAGTTACTGGGAGTAGCCAAAGGAAGATCGAGCATCAAGCGATGCAAACGAGAGGAAGTGTGAAGAAGTCTACAAGTTCTGTGGAGAACACCGTTCGGGATTTCCACGAGCTCTTTCGTTTCTCCATTTTGGTGCCTAGATGCTCGACGCCTAAATGCTTCAGTTTGGTAATTTGCTCGGCTAGCTTTTTCACTTTCATCTATGGTTTCTACGCGAAAACGGTTGTGGCATATTGAGATGTACTATTTTTGTGTTTCGGGTAAAAGTCTTCAAATATTGCATTTCAAGAACAAAGGAAACTGCAAAAATGATAAAGGGCAGTCCTCGTAGTTCACGGAACTTTCCTTGAACAGTTACCGTGCTTCTTCAGTACAGCGGCCTAACATAGCTCCTAATGGTTCTTACTAGCGTGCTTGCGTCTTTCGGATGTCGCTGTCTGTCTGTTTGTTTGTTTGTTTTTCATGAAATTTAATGCTACTGAAGAAGTACCTCGATAGGTTGCGTCAAGTTTGAATGGGTTGGGCATAGGGCAAGTCCAACAGTGCACACGTGAGCTGAGCGGAGCTAGGTTCATGGGGAAGGAAGATGCACAGGGTTGAGCGCTGCCACGGGCGAATTTTCTTAAACTGGTTTGTTAACAGATTCAGAAATGAGCAAATGCGGGAATGGGTCAACAAATGGAATTACCCGCCTGTCGTGAGAAGAGCATCTTCACTGGGAGCTTTTTTCTATATAAGCGAAAGCATAGAGGCCAGAAAAATGGAAAGTGGGCAAGGTCCAATTAGTGCCCAGCGTACCCGAGAGCGGAGCGGAAGCACACTTACGGGGGCGGGACGTGCATTCAGGTGTAAGATGTTGTTGAAAAGAAATTCATAATTTTGTATAAAATCTCTCTAAAATGCGGTAAAAAATGGCGTGAGGCTACCAAAGAAGTGTAGTCAACCACGGAAATAGTGGTGGTCAGATACTCCTGAAGGGATGTGGTCGAACCTTTGAAGTGAGCTTTACCATGGTGGGTGTGGCCAAAATCAGAAATTCAGAGCCCTGTTCGAAAACGTTCTAGAACGCTCAGATACGAGGAAAAAGGGTCAACAAAGCGGTACCTTTTGCATAAATTTATAACCCACCACAGCTTATAGGTCAGATTTTTAGAGCTGAAGATTAGATTATGATGTGCTTGATGTGTTCATTGTTGTGACGCCAGCGCTATTGCGCGGAACCCAATGGTTGATAAATATGAAGATAACTTGGGTCATTCTCAGGATCCCGCCTCGTGGGCTGGACAGGTGTTTGAAAAATTCCAGAAAAAATCATGAAAATTGTAATCCAACAAGTGTTTGGAGAAGCTGGCGAGGTGGATCGAATGCTTACCATCACTAGTAGGCCTAATATGCTCGTCTATACATCGCACAGTATCGAACGGAGAACACGTTGGATACGCTGAAAATTTGGAAATTTCTTTACATATGATTCCACAGATGATTCTCGCGTAGTCACCAAGAATTCTAATGTTACACATATGATCGATACGAATATTTGACCGTTATCGATGTTGTAAGTGAATGGACTACATCCGCATTCGGAATAGAAGTAATAAGCTTTGCATTTGGAGTCACAGTTCACCGCCGAGTATGGCAAATCACACTTCAATTGGGACGGCCATTCTGATGTGCAGTTGCCCCATTTTTCCCGTGGTAGCAAGACGTACTGAAATGAATAAAATGAGATGCACGAACAGCAATAAGAAAAATAAATATCTTCACACTGTTTGTTGTAATGGCTGAGTAGACACGGGTTGCTGGAGAAACACTTATTCCTTCTGAAACAAGGTACGATATGGTTTCTGGAGCGTGCACATAGTAGCGAAAGCCGTTCTCAAAGGCATCAGTGAATACCGGCTCTGGTTCACCTAAACATAACTTCTACAAAAGAGGCTCGGAACTTGCTTAATATCGACGCTACATGTGGTATATCCGAAATCAAAAGATAGAGGTTACAACTACGGCTCAAGTTCCGGGAAGCGCTCCCATACTCCACATCTACTCAGAATAGGTGCGGCGTTCTATATGCCTGCGTAGCCAACTCAGTGACTCACGGTGGCCAATCGATGTGCTCGTTATCGGATCATAGTAAAGAGGCCTTTAAAGCGGAGGGTCCAATCACAAGTATGATGCAGTATATTAACCAGTTGAGCTGCGCCATCATGTCTCCTGTTTCGGGGGCGGGGCTTGCGTGAAAAATATTAATTTGGGTGCTCTAGGCTCAAATTAATTTTTTCACGCAAGTCCCGTAAAATAAAGACGAAGTCAAGCTCTACCAACTGCCTTAAGTGTTCCAATAATGCCGCCTCTACCCCTCCCTATTTTGAACGTTCCAGGTCCACGGGAACAGGAGTTATGAGTTCCCGTGCAAGCAGACAGACAGACGGACAGACAGACGCGAGCGCTTTACATATAATAAGGATTTACCCAAGTTTGAAGATCTCCCGTTCTGCCTCCTGTAAAGCCCTCTGTAGCTTCGGTCAATGTCTACCACGAGAGGATATATTAGGTCGTGAAGAAAGTTCTTGCGGTTTTGCGCCTCAAAATT